GAGAGATGGAGCAGCTGGGGACTTTAGACACAGAGAGGGAGAGGGGCTGTGTGCTGACAACCGGGGGTAGGCTTATAGGGCATAACCTTTGGTTGATTGGTTGATGATGCATAGAGGGGATTGTAACCGTGGCAGTGAAACAATATACAATAGGATGAATGTAAAAGTAATGTTTTCCCATGTAAACTATCACATAATTCACACACACACACAAAGAGTCGTGCTGCTGTTTGGTGGTGTTTCACACAGCACCATGGGAAAGTCTGTGCACGAATTGGCCGCATGTACTGCTGGGTGGATGACCCTCACTGAGCCTTTCTCAGAGCTCACAGGAGTCCTGCATAGTAACACTTGATTTTTCCTGACCGGATTTACATGTCTATATTTCAAAACCAGAGTCCTAACTTGGTGTTGTAGGGTAAGCATTGGTCTGCTAAGCACTGTCTTCGGAAAAATCTGGTTTTGTATAAGATCTCTGTGGGTAGGAACTACCTCTACATATTTAACAACCACCATTTCAAAAATTTTCAGTTACACAGTAAAAAGTACAGCAATGTACAAACTGCAGTATTTTTGCACATTATGTGTAATTTTTTGCTGACTATATACTCTCTCCCCAGTGTTTTCATAAGCACACTCTACTGATTTTTTTTTTCCTCACATGTTGATAGTTAAAAAATGAAATAAATGGAGGCCTGGTGTGGTGCTGTGGGTTCATGTGCTGGACTGCAAAGTCAGTTTGAACTGCAAGGTCAGCGGTTCAAGCTCACCATCTGTTCCTTGGAAACCCTATACAGGGTAGCTATGAGTTGGAATTGACTCCAAGGCACTTAGCAACAACTACAACATTTTAAAAATTAGTATAGCTTGCTTATGAAAATGCCTTGGGTAAGGTTTAATTGGTGGGATAAAAACATATAATATGCATGTTTTTTTGTGTAAAAATGTCCAGGAGACGCCTCTAGCAGCCTGTTTGCATTTTGTGTGTGTGTGTGTGTGTGTGTGTGTGTGTGTGTGTGTTAAGTCAAGACTCTCTTTCAAACAGTATACAAGGGAGTAGCAAAAAGTTAGAGAAGAATTCCATTTTCCTTTAATTCCATTGTTCCATGACCTTTTTGAAGCACCTTTGTGTATTGTGTGTATATGTCTGTATTAGTGTATTTTAAATATTTAATTATATACAATCTGTTACATATGACAATAGCCTATATGGTATGTCTGCATTTTGTTACTGGGAAAGCATTTGTAAATCATGCCAAGCAATAATATGTTTGAATGTTAGCAGCAATCCCTAAGGTAGTGTTTCTCAGTAACCAACTCAGAATTGTCTTGAAGCTTCTTTAAAAGATTATATAAGGTTAATGTTCATAGTAATAAGTCTTGTTTTAATGAAGACATTGTCAAGGGGTCCTTGCATGTGGAAATATGTACTCCTCATGTGTGAGAAGTCTTGGCTTGCTTTAGATTTGGGCTTGAGTGTTTGCCTTTCTAGGGAAGTCCTCATCTCGCCTTCAAAAAGATGCTAAATTGAAATAAACATCAATTCCAAGAGCAGAGTTGTTTTCTATTCAGGCCTTGGAGCTTAGGCAATTAAATGAACAACAGCAACGAAAATTGGGAGTGGAGGGGGTGGGGAAGACAGCAAACATGTTAAATCATGTAACTTTTAATTTCTAGTTCATTCTTCTAGCAAACACACATTATTTTCTTTCATGTTGTTGTTGTTATTATTAAGTGCTGTGGGTCAGTTCCAACTCAAAGTGACCCAGTACAGCGTTTCCAGGGCTGTAAAACTTTGCAGGAGCAGAAAGCCTCATCTGTTTTCCGCAGAGAGGCTGGTGTGTTTGAACTACTGACGTTGTGGTTCACAATCCAGTGCTTATCCTACAGACCCACTGTGCTAATACTTTTGTTTAAAACACTCTTTCTGAGTGCTCTATCTGAGAAGCACAGTATAGAATAAGCATTTGCAGTTCTTAGTTTTGTATCCTGACTGACTAGGCTAAGGCTTCTGGTTCTCAAATGAAACAATCACACAAAATTCTTATTGGAGCTAGGAGTTTGTCATATAGCATTTCTTAAGTACAACCTGATAGAATAATCGTAGTGAATTTTGAAACTTAACACTGATTAGTAATCCCATTTCTCTGAATGATATAAATAAATTTTATTTATACCATTTAAATTATAAGCTTGAAGGAAATCAATGTTCAAAATAGGGAAATGGCAAGGTAACTTTTGGTATGTAACTACAGCTAAAATGGTATATTGTTATGCACCGTGGAGTCGGTTCTGACTCATAGCGACCCTGTACAGGGTTTCTGAGGCTGTAAATCTTTACAGGAGCAGAAAGCCTCATCTTTCTCTCGCGGAACAGCTGGTAGTTTCGAACTGCTGACCTTATAGTGGACAATTATTCGTCAGCAAGAATTTTATTATTTTTTTAACTTTTTGTTGCGAATTGGGTGACGATTTACAGACAAGATCATCAGCTTAACATTCAGCAATTAATACACCTTGTTTCATCTCAGTGATTACAATTCCCTCCTTGCAGCATTTATTCTACTTCCTTCCTGTGGCTCTCCATTTATAATCTTATATTTTACAGATGAACAAAGCATCAATATTTAATGTACACATAACAAAACAAAGAATATGTGTTCATTTAACTATCCAAAGGGCACATTGTGCCAGCCGGTCTCCTGCCTGCAGGCACACAACCTTTCTCAGTCCCTGGGCCTAGAGTCTGCACCTGCTCTGTCTCCATGTCACGGCCTCGGTCACCGTGTCTGTTGTCGCCACCTTCCTAGGTAGGCTCTCATGCTCCCCTCATGTTCTTTCTTCCTTCTTGGTGGTCCTGGGATTGTCTGTCCTGAAATGAAAGATTAACTACTCCCCCGTTAGAGTTTCACATCTTCTACAATTACAATTGTGACAATAAGTAAGTTTTTTGAGAAGTAGTTGATACCATGGGAAACTATAAAATTATATCACATATAAAGGAATGAGATCTTAATTCATATGTAAATTATATATGAACACACACATGAGGGAGCTTCAAAAAGCCTATGAAAGAATTCCATTAATTTCATTTCCCCACAAACTTTGAATGAAGCTGCTTCTCAGTTTTGAAAAATTCTATTTTTCCTAGTGTATCTATTTTACTCTTTAAAAAAAAATTTTTTTTTTTTTTTAATCTGATTTTGGACGTGGATAGGAAGCATAATTTTTTTCCCTTGGGTTCAGTGGAGTTTTACCGTCAATTGTGTAGGGAGTGTATCTTTTTATAGTGTTGAATTTTACAGATCTCATTAAGAGCACCTTAGTTCTTACGCCAGTATTTTCTCATGTAAATGGTGCCTGTGTAGGCATCCTCAAGTGAAATTCTCTGTCACTTTGATGATGGGTGTGCTCTGATTTGTGGTCTTATTTTGAGACAGAATCGCTTAGGATTGTCTTCAAGTTATATTTAGTTTTTCAGAAGTCATTCAGAAGCCATAAGGAAATCTAATGGTCTCTCACAAAGGTAGTTCTCTGTGTCTGTTTATTGCTAATGCCCTTTAGTTTATGTGTTTATAATATGTTCACCGTGGATTAATTATAAGTCAGGGGCCAGTGGCATTTATATGCATATGTATGCTCAGTGAATCTGGCCGATAAAATACACAAATTTACATCCTGTTGGTAGTACAAAATACATGCTTCATCTGTGGATGTTTGTGTTCATAATTCACTGTACTTCAAGTTCAAAATCAGCCAGAGTCAGTGACAGACGAAGTTACAAAATCACCCTGCCTATGAAGGAAATGGGCCTGAATGCAAGACAGTACTCCCAGTGTTAGTTTTGCATTTCAGTTTGATGGAATCTGAGGTTGTGGAAATGACTATAAAAATAATTTTGTCTCGTAGAAATCTGGATACAGAAATGTAACAGAGAAAATAGTTTGACAATATGCTTCATCAGTAAGTGTTACACATCTAACACTTGCTGAGCACCACATGGCTTAGATCAAAGCATTCCCTGACCTGTATCCTTGTGGATGAATCATTACATATTGATTGGAGCCCCCAACTGGAAGGGTAACCCCTTCATGCTCATCACTCTATGAACATCAGTTGTAGCAACATCATCTTATACCACTATTAGGTTTTTGTTGTTTTTTTTAAAATGAAGCTTGCATATATTTTCCTAAATTATCGTATTGTATTATTCATTGTTGGATACAATTGACTTGTGAAAAGATTAATAATATGTCAGTTGGCAATATCAAAGCAGTTTCTGCAGAAAGGGAAGAGAAAATGCTGATATTATAAGTAGGAAGAATAGCAATAAAAATCTCAAAATCAAGTATAGTTGATTTTGTATAATTTTTCAGTATGTAGATTAGGTGATAAATTCTAGCTTTTCAGGAAATCTAGTGGCGCTGTAGATGAGCACTGGACCTCAAGATTGGTTTGAACCACAAGGTTGGTGGTTCAAACGTACCAGCCCCTCCTCAGAAACCCTATCACAGGGGCGCTATGAGTTGCAACTGATTTGACGGCACGTAACACCAGTGTCAGTCTGAAGAACCCTGGTGGCACTAAAGGATAAGTTCTGGACTGCTAACTGTAAAGTTGGCTGTTCAAACCCACCAGCTGCTCTGTGGGAGAAAGATGACGTTTTCTGCTCCTGGCGTGATTTGCAGCCTGGGAAATCCTATAAAGGGTCGCTGTGAGTCATTATGAGCTGAGTAGAGAGCTTGCGTCGCACTACAACCTGTCAGACTCTTTTGTATGTTGTTCACGCCAACATCTGATTGCGTACATTTTGGTACAACTTAACTTTACTTTCAAATAACAGTGCAGAAATCAGTGAATTCCACGAGAAAGGAAAATCTCAGATTCGTTGGTGTCCACATTTGACTGTGTGGGCTCTTTGTTGCCTTTTATGTCCTTGCCTGGCGAGATGGCTCTTGGCAGCAAATTCATCCTCTTGTCTTCTGTGTTTTTCCTTTCAGTTTGTCCCACGAGGAGCCTCCCCACAGCCATCCTCTCTATGGGCATGGTGTGTGCAAGTGGCCAGGCTGTGAAGCAGTGTGCGAAGATTTCCCATCATTTCTAAAGTAAGAATGATCTTTGTTTGTTCTTTTCTTTTACATAACCGTCACCTCCCATTGTTTGTGTTTCTGCTCACAAGATGCCTTCTTATGGAGGGTTTTACACCTCCTTTTTTGGAGTGTAAATCGCAAGGTGTCTAGTACAATGTCTTATGAGTAGCTACAAAAATCTTACTGAGGGTCGTATTGTAAAGAGACAATGACTTATTAAATCTAAGGTAATCTCCATACACTTAAAAGAAGCGTATTTTTTAGACTGATAATGATTAAAACATGTGTGTGTATGTGTATATATATATCCCAATGTTAAACTTGTCATAATTGAGTTTTTACTTTTAATCTGTTCCTGCTTATTAGTTTTAATCGGAGTCAATGATATGCTAACATTAATTTTGTAAAATTGGTGTGTCATTTTATAGAATTACTAACCAATTGCACTTGAGGGTTTGGGCCCTTTTGTTGTTTTACAAATGAGTTGATAGACAGAAAAGTGCAAAACACATGGATTATCTTCTCTCTGTGCTGGTCTTGACTTTGTTCAGATTCTTGTCCGTATAGTGAGAATGGAGTTACGTTTAATTTCTACAGTTAGATAAAATATGACTAAAATGTGGATTATCCTGTCTGGATCGGTAACATTGCAGTATCTTTGGGAAGTAAGAGATTTGTTCATCGTCTCATAGTTGGAACCAAATGCCCCTGTGCTGCATCTTAATAATTCCCTTAAATTAGATACCTTGTAAAGTAAAAAGAAAAATTACAGTGAACTGCCCTGTATTTTTGACAGCACATAAATATATTCATAATATTGAATGAATGACCTCTGGACTCGATGTAATATTTCATTATATGTATATACATGTAAACTATCATGCAGTAAACACTTGCATGTGTATAAATTATGTGTATTTAGGTGCCTGTTGGTTTATAGATTGGATGAGGTTATCCACCACCACTACCACCCCCAACTTTTCTCTCCCCTTCAAGCCCCAAGAAAGCAGAGGTAGGCTGGCTTGTATGCTGCTTTGTGTGGATTTGATGCTATTAGAACAAACTCTTATCTCTATCTTTCTGGAACTACATACAAATATTATAATAAAACCAATTTTAGAGATCTATCTAGTGGGATCTGCAAATGATTTGGATCAATATAGGTTAGTGATTAATGAGTAAAAGTCTGTGAATCATGTTTCGTAGCTTCCCAGCTTGAATATTTGAATTTCCATATTTTGTGATCGTTGAAAACTGAAGTACTTACAACTTTTTTGCAGGAGATGTCGTAACAACAATCAGGCACAGTGATTTTATTTTGTTTTAATCAGCCGTCCTTTTGATTACTTCATTCAGATTAGTGACTCACATTCTTTCTTTATAAATCACTTATAGAATCTTGCTTACGTTGTTGCGTGATCATCATTTGCCTAATCACATCTATATAATGAGAGAAAAAGAACTTGGCAGGAAGCACTTGAAAGTTGATTTCTCTTTTGACATTAGTGCTAGGTTTGATAAATATCTTAGTGCCCATTCTCTTATCTGTAGAATGGTCAATGACCACGTGTCAGTATGATTGATTTTTGTAAAGTCTTTACGATTGTACAGTTGTTACCAGCATTCTCTGTGATGTGTCAGTTTTAGTGTTTGAAAGAAAAAGGCTAATATGGTCTTTTTTGTTAATTTAAGCTTTTGAGCAAGTGAAATATTGATACCCTAATCTTAATTTATTGATCCATTTACTATGTCTAATGACAGATGGGAGGTAGAGACACAGCTAGAGATATGCATAGTGATTACGAATCGGGCTGATAACCTCAAGGTTGGTAGTTCGAAACTACCAGCTGTTCCATAGGGGAAAGATTAAGCTTTCTGCTCCTGTAGAGATTGGCAGCCTCGGAAACCCTGTGCAGGGTCGCTATGAGTCGGAACCGGCTCCACAGTACTTAACAACAACATGCACACACAGACATATATGTTACTACGTGCCATCATCAGTTCCACCTCATAAAGAGCCTGTGTGCAACAGATAAGCATTGCTCAGTCATTTGCCAGCCTTCTTGTTGTGTTTTAGCCCATTGTTGTAGGCACTGTGTAAATTCATCTCTTTGAGGGTCTTCCTTTTAAATGTATTACATATGAATAAAATGTCCATATGTGTGTGTATATGTATATATATATATTGTTGTTAATTGCCGTTGGGTGGCTTCTGACTCACAGTGACCCTTTATAGGATTACCAAGGTGCTGCTCTCAAGTTCGATTTGCAGTTCAGATGAGTTTTCGGTGCAGTTCTTATCTTATAGCTGTATGTATGGATACATAATTTGTAAGTACTGTATGCCTCAGCCAGGACCAAGCAACAATTCAAACTGCTTTAATAATCTATTTAATAAAGTACTAGCAAAAATAATCTATTTTTCAAAGATTCTTAGAAATGGCATCTAGACTTGATGATGCCTATGAAAAATCCAGCTTCTATTTTAAGGATTTGTGTTGTTTGTCGCTTGGGTCAGAAATGACCCGTCAGTTATTTACTGTGGTTTACACATGACATGACACGTTCTTGGTTCGTGTTTGCTGAGTGGAAACTGAATGCCCACTATGAACCTGCCACTATTGCTTGGCTACTTCCTGCACTTACTTGTTGATTTGCATTTCCCAGAAGACTATTTACAAGTTATTAAAAACCACCTTAAATTGGCTCAAGTAAAAGAAAAAAGTTGGAAGGTAGTGTTGCCTTCTATCACTAGGATATCAAATGGTGCAGCTAGCTTCATGCATGGCTGGGTCCAGATGCTTAGACAAGTGCGTTAAATATTTCATCTTTGTCTGTTGGCTGGATTTTCCTGTGTGTTGGCTTCATTTAGGGGCTTTCCCACTGGAGCTGGAGAAGGAGGTTTATATCCCACTGGTTTAACAATCCCAGAGTGCATATGTTGCAGTGGCTCTGGGAAACCTCCATGCCAGACTCTCCTTAGCCTAGACTGAGTCACGTGGTCTAGCTTTGAGGCAATCGTGGATGCGGTAGCTAGACTTGCCTTCCATATCCATCTCAGCACAGAAGGAAATGTTCAACCCACGTGAACCACACAGGGCTTAGGGATGAGAAACTTGACCCTGGCAGAGTAAAAATGAGCATCCTTACCACCGAAAGGGAGAGTGATTGCTAAGTACGAAAATACCTATGCTAAGTATGAAAATACCTACCGTGTACAATGGTTGTTCTGTTAGGGCTCTTCTGAGTTAGACATCGACTGGTCTGTAAATGGCAAATTCACATTGTATTTTTCCTCTCCAGAGTGTTTGTAGTGCTTGGAAATTTCTTCTTTACATTTCAGGACCTTGTCTAATGTTGTTGTTATGTGCCGTGGAGTCGGTTCCGACTCCTAGCGACCCTGCACAGGGTTTCCAAGGCTGTAAATCTTTACGGGAGCAGAACGCCTCATCTTTCTCCCACGGAACCGCTGGTAGTTTCGAACTGCTGACCTTGCGGTTCACATCCTGATTCGTAACCACTACGCTACCAGAGCTCCTTTTGTCTCATGTAGTGGAAAATAAGTTAGTCGTCTTGCTTGTTCATATCTCCTCTATCTGCACAGTCTAAAGAGAAAAGAAATAATTGATGTTAATGAAACCAATTTTGATTTCCATTAAATTGGACTAAGAAGCTACCTTCTCGTGGTTGAAACAAAAACCACATAGCCTCTTTGAATGATGTCATCTTGGGGTCATTTTCATTGGGCAGTGATGTTTCCAGCATTTCTTCTTTAATTGCCAGACTTGTAGACTTAAACCATTGTTTTCCTGAGTCTAGTTTTCTCTATGGATATTCCCCAGTACAAGTGTTTTCTTCTGTTTTAGCTTTATCTATAACAGCAGTGCTTGGATTCTCCAGGACATTTTTACCAACAAAATGTAGTATTGCTTTGACCTTGATTATTTAGGGTTTGTTTTACAGAGTTTTCCTACCTGTTTCACATATATATGTGTGTGTGTGTGTGTGTGTGTATGTGTGTGTATGCTCCCTCCTATATATGTATATATAGTCTCCTATGATATAGGTAATATATGTGTGTGTATATATATATATACACACATATAATATATATGTATAAGTAAACATATATATACATACATGTATATATAACCTCTAGAGTATGATACCTTTTTTAGCTAAGAAATATATATATATATATATGGTGTGTGTGTGTGTATATATAGTTTTTAATCAGAGGCTAGTGAAATAAAGCTATATATAGAGATCGATCTTATACTCACTAGTCCTGTGTTGTATGCTGGAGAGTATTCCAAGTGTTCACATTTATCAACTCATTTAATATTAATATCCATACAGCACTTACACTGATAATACTGTCGTGTTTCTGCCAGCATGCGGAACTAAAATTATTAGCAATTCTTTTCTAATCTACTTAAGTGTATTTTTAAGAGAATGATAATTGTAAACATCCAAAAGTTTCAGAGTTTACCTAGAGATTGCAGTGATACCAGGCTTTGATCTGTCTGAAGAGACCGTTCTTCAGTAATTTCTAAACCATAAATTTCTGGTAAAGTCCTGCTTAATCAGATGCCATCTTAGGGCACGGGTTCCCAAACGTGTTCTGGAAAGGACCAGACATTAAATACTGTGTGGGCTCAGCTTTCCCCTGGAGCACGAAAGCAGCAATAGACCATGCTACAGAAATGGGCATGCTTGTGACCTTGGGAACACCGTTTGCTGACCTCTGACCTACAATGTAGTTTTTGATGTTTCCACATTTTTTTCAGCCAAGAAACATTTTTATAGTCACTGGGCATTGGTATCCTGGGTTATTTTTGTTTTGATTCGCAGTGTCCTCAGGGTTAACCATATTTTGGGGGAACTCTCCATGTCCCTCGTCCTAAAGGAGTCCTAGTTGTGTTGGACTATATAACCACATGGTCAGCCCATCGGCTGTTCAAACCATCGGCCCACTCTTCTGTTCCTACAAAGGTTTACAGTCTCGGAAACCC